GCCACTGAATTAGTTTAGTCCAGTTATACATACAACCACGAACAGGACATGTTGTCCCTGAGCTCCGTAACGACATCTCTCATAAAGATTTGCGTCTTTAAATAGTAAAATAATTCTCCGAAAAACAGCTAGCCTCTTCGCAAACTAACACACAAAATACCATTGGAATGCTACTTCCGCCGCCTCACCGGAAGTTTCACCCACTTTATTTTTTACAGGAGCGCCCCTCGGAAACTTGTGGATAGTAATATTTTCAGAATTACTAAGAAGTCTAGTTTTAAATATAATTATTTTGAAGTGTTTAATGTAGCAATATCTAGTGTAAATGATTAATCACATTTGAGATTTGTGCTGACTACTGTGTGCAGGCCACCAGGGCACAATTCAGATCATATCAAAGAATTTGCTGATTTTCTATTAGAGTTAGTACTGGCTGCAGAAGTCCTAATGGTTGGTGATTTTAATATCCGTGTAGATAATGAAAATGCATTGGGATTGGCATTAGACATTCTGAATTCTATTGGAGTTAGAAAACACATATCAGGACCTACTCATTATCATACTTTAGATCTATTACCGTCACATAAATGTTGATGCCATTGAAATTCAGCAGATCGATGACATCTCTGATAAATATTTTATCTCATGTACACCTAATTTAGCTAAGGCTGTAACGCCGAGTGTGATGTGGGAGAAAACACTGGTGTGCTATTTATGAAGGCTATATCTTTAAAACCAAGCATATCTGCTGACTCTGTTGATTTTCTCCTTGATTCTTTAAACTCAAAAGTTAAGAGTGTAATTGATGATATTGCTCCTGTGAAAGTCAGGAAGAATAGTGGCAGACAAAAAGCACCTTGGAGAAACTCAACAGCTGTGCAAAATATGAAAAGACAATGCAGAAGAGCAGAACGCATGTGGCGGAAGACAAAACTTGTAGTCCATTATAACATCTACAAAGACAGCATCCACGCTTTCAACAGGGAACTAGGCAAAGCTAGACGGACTTTCTTCTCAAATATTATAAAGAGCAATATAAACAACACACGCACTCTTTTTGCTACTGTAGAGAGACTGACAAACCCCCTGAACCAGATTCCCATAGAAATGCTCTCAGAAAGGAAATGCAGTGAGTTTGCTTCTTTCTTCTCTGAGAAAATCAATAACATCAGAAAGGTGATCAGCACATCCTTGAGTTGCTCTGGGGTCAGGCAGATCAGACCACAACCTGAGAAAGTAGTTACTATGTCTGATTTCGAAGAAATTGATGGCACAATTTTGGTAGAATTTTGGTACTGAGGAAGCTTAACTCTTTTGGGGTCTGTAAAATAATTTTATGTACATTCTATCAGGCCTTCATTGAGAGTCTACTAACATTTTCTTTCTTGTGTTGGTTTAATGGATTAGCTGTGAAAGATAAAAAAAAGTTTGACCAACATTGTTAAGCTATGCTCAAAAATCACTGGTACCCAACTAAATGATCTGACTTTTCTTTGGGAAACACGAGCTGTCAAAAAGGCAGAAAGTATACTGTGTCAACCAGATCATGCACTCAGTGAAGAATTTGTTGTTATGCAGTCAGGTCGGCGGTATTATGTGCCAAAACGGAAAACTAACCGATATGCTAACTCATTCATTCCTTCCGCTATAAGACTTCTAAACGGAAATACATAAATGTATGGAATTGGTTCTTGCTTTCCTCTGCTCTGCCTAGTCAATGGCAGTTGAATGTGTGTGAGTGTGTGTGTGTGTGGGTGTGTGTGATACTGGTCGGTAAACTAGTGAGTAAACATGAGGATGTGAGTATTTATTTCTTTTATTCATTGTGTGTTATTGTATTTTAACTATTATGGATGGGTTGGCTGTAAAACTGAATTGCCCCTTGGGGACTAATAAAGGTATCTGAACTGAACTGAACAGAAACCGTACAGCACCTTAAAACATCAAACTGCGCCCTTGACACACTTCCCACATCTTTTTTCAAAAGTGTGTTAAACTGTTTAGAAGCAGATCTCCTAGAAGTGGTAAATGCCTCACTTCGCTCTGGGAGTTTTCCGAACTGCCTGAAAACTGCAGTTGTCAAGCCCCTCCTGAAAAAGAGCAATCTGGATAAGACCATCATGAGCAATTATAGACCAATCTCAAATCTTCCTTTCATAGGCAAGATCATTGAAAAGGTTGTCTTCAATCAGCTGAACAAATTTTTAAGCTCAAATGGATATTTTGACAATTTTCAATCTGGTTTCTGATCGCATCACAGCACGGAGACAGCGCTCATAAAGATAATAAACGATATTCGCTTAAATACTGATACAGGCAAATTATCCGTGTTGGTACTACTTGACCTCAGTGCTGCATTTGACACTGTTGATCATGACATACTTCTTGACAGGTTGGAAAACTGGGTGGGGCTTTCTGGGATAGTCCTAAAATGGTTCAGGTCATATTTAGAAGGGAGAGGTTATTTTGTGAGTATGGGAGAACATAAGTCTGAGTGGACATCCATGACTTGCGGAGTCCCTCAGGGCTCGATTCTTGCGCCACTCCTATTCAACCTGTATATCCTCCCAATGAGCCAAATAATGAAAAAGAACCAAATAGCTTACCACAGCTACGCAGACGACACAGAGCTCTACTTAGCCCTTTCGCCTAACGACTACAGCCCCATTGACTCCCTGTGCCAATGCATTGATGAAGTAAACAGTTGGATGTGTCAAAACTTTCTGCAGTTAAACAAAGACAAAACTGAAGTTATTGTGTTTGGAAACAAAGATGAAGTTCTCAAGGTGAATGCATACCTTGACGCTAGGGGTCTAACAACTAAAAATCAAGTCAGGAATCTTGGTGTGTCTCTAGAGTCAGACCTTAGTTTCAATAGTCATGTCAAAGCAAGAACTAAATCAGCATACTATCATCTGAAAAATATTTCAAGAATTAGATGCTTTGTTTCCAGTCAAGACTTAGAGAAACTTGTGCATGCTTTCATCACCAGCAGGGTGGATTACTGTAATGGCCTCCTCACTGGCCTTCCCAAAAAGACCATAAGACAGTTGCAGCTCATACAGAACGCTGCTGCCAGGATTCTGAGCAGGACCAGAAAATATGAACATATCACACCAGTCCTCAGGTCTTTAAACTGGCTGCCAGTTACATTTAGGATTGATTTTAAAGTATTATTACTGGTATATAAATCACTTAATGGGTTAGGACCTCAATATATTGCAGATATGCTCACTGAATATAAACCCAACAGATCACTCAGATCATTAGGATCACATCAGCTAGAAATACCAAGGGTTCACTCTAAGCATGGAGAGTCTGCTTTTAGCTATTATGCCAGCCGCAGCTGGAACCAGCTTCCAGAAGAGATCAGGTGTGCTCCTACAGTAGTCACATTCAAATCCAGACTCAAAACACATCTGTTTAGCGGTGCATTTACTGAATGAGCACTGTGCCACTGTTCGTCCGACTGTTACTGCACTTCATTTTATTCTAAATAGTTCTAATTTACTGTATTTTACTTTTATCATAATTTTTATTTTTCATTATTTCTTATTTTTTATTCTAAACTGTTTTAATTATTCTGATTTCTTTTGATTATTTTAATTTCTTCTATGTAAAGCACTTTGAATTGCCATTGTGTATGAAATGTGCTATATAAATAAACTTGCCTTGCCTTGCAATCCTGGTATAAACAACTGGATGACTAGCAATTTCATACTACTTAATTCTGAAAAAACAGAGATTCTAATTATTGGCCAAAAAACTTCCTCACGTAATAACCTAGAATACTGTTTAACACTTGATGGTTGCTCTGTTAAGTCCTCGTCGTCAGTTAGGAATCTGGGTGTGCTCTTTGATACCAATCTTTCGTTCTGTTAACAGTGCATTGCCTCCCTATTAAACATTGTATAATTTTATAATATTGCTGATAAATTACAAAGCACTAAATGGTTTAGCTCCTGAGTACTTGAGCGAGCTCTTAACGCATATAGTCCTTCATGTCTATTGTCATCTCAAAATTCCGGCCAGTTGAAAATACCAAAATCGACTGCTGGAGGTAGATCCTTTTCCTATTAATCACCAAAACTTTGGAAGAAAACCTTTTTCTTCATAACATTTTTCAAGAAGCAGACACAGTCCCTCAGTTCAAATCTAGACTAAAAAAAAACATCTATTTGGCCTATTATACACATTATAGACTTGCCATGCTGAAAGTTGGTTAGGAAGACTGTTTAAAGAGTTTTGAAAAGTGACAGTAGTGAAGTAGTGAGAAATGGATCCTAACGAATGTTAAATAAAAACTGTATCTGAAGCTTTTTCCTCATTAGCGATTCATATCTGAGACTTATTTGGGAAGGGGTTGGTATAGAGCCCATATATTTTTTTAACAATTGGTAGGATTTCTCAGTACTTGGGTCACTTATTCATTGAGCACAACACCAGTATATGTTGGGTATACTGGATCATTAATCAATTTCAGTACAATCTATCTACAAAAGGGAACAACGTAGGAATCGTTTTGTACAGTAACGTAACGTATAGGCTACTGCAGGGAATTCTATAATTTTATTTTTAGAAAAAAAAAAACATTGTGTAATTCTACGTTGTTAGTGTTTTAGGTCATTGTTTTATTGGTGCAAAGTGTGTCTTTTGGGTGACAAACTTTGGAAGTGTTAAGTTAAGTGTTTTGAGGCATTTTGAATGTGAAATTAACTGTTGTGCCAAGCTAAAAGTTGGTTAGGAAAACTGTGAGAAAAGTTTGGAAAAAGTTACCCAAGTATTGAGAAATGGGTCCTTAACGATTGTTAAAAACCCCTGTAACTTCCATTTAGTTTTATCAGTCTTTAATAAGACAAAAGAGCTCCTAGAAACCCCTTTCTGGTTAGCCCCTTTCTCAGTTTTGCCTGTTTGCTAAGGTTAAGGCAAACACAAACCAGACTGATGTGCTCTAAATTGCCTTATAGAGGAGATAGGTGAACAGAGTCTATATACAATACCTCCAGTTGCTATGGTGATTTGCCTCACTTGGTGTCCATAGAAAGGGAAGTTAAAGGTTAGTGCCACCCGCTAGCAAAGCAAAATATAGAGAAGGAGATAGAGACAAAAAAAAAAAAAGGAAATTTAGGCAGGGAGTTAAAATGCCAAGTAACAACATAATTACAAGCTAGAATAAGATTAGTTTTATTGGCCCATGTGAGCCAAGTGCTTTTTTCCATAAAAATAAAGGAATATGTTTGTGGTTGTCTCACCGATGCCTGTCGGTGTGAGTTGGACAGGATAGCGTGCACTCTTACAGGTCCTTGATCCACTGAATCAAGATTCACCCATAGTTCTTGTGTACGTTTGTCACCAGGACCAAAACTCTGCCAGGAGTAGTACCTCTGAGAGTCCTCCTTAAAGACAAATAGAGAGAATATGTGAATGTGTTCAATGTTCAAAAATTCAGGTCAAAAGAATAAAATAAAGACCATGCACATTGTGTTCTGTTTTGAATCTCTATTTACTTTAATTCCTTGTTGTTTAAATTGCTAAATATAACATACTCATCACTATATATCATACATTGTCTAATATTGCCTATCACATTAATCTGACATTAGCTTTTAACTAAATCATTATAACTAGCACAATGCACTAGCATTTCGCTAGCCTGTTAACCTGCTATATTGCCATTCATCCGTGCTTGCCGTCTTTTTCACTCATGCATATTATGAGTCCATCAATTTTGGGTACTTACTCAGTTGTTTGCGGGTCGTAAAATAAAGTGTTACCCACGTTTTTTTTGTTTTTTTTTAAATTAAGCCGGTTTTCATTTCTACTGGTTGATAGAGAAATTACTGCAATACATTAACTTAGGATGGTCTATTTTATTGTCATTAGTTAATATTGTAGAATATAATGCACCCAGTATAACCTAAAATTGTTATTTCTTAATGTTCTAATGACATTCTTATAACCATGCAAGAATGTTAATACAACTTTTATATAACAGGAGAATTGAACGTTCTTATAACGTTTTAAATAAGAAATAATCTTAATACAACGTCTAAAAAATTGGACGTTTCGAATGTTCCTAGAAATACGAAATATGAAGAGTTCAGATGCAAAAGCCTCTAAATGCCATTTGAAATTTTCATCTTTAATGATGATTTTTATCAAACTTGTATATTTAAGTTCAGTAATTTCACTTAAATAACAATTAATAGGTAATTATCATTGCCATTTAAGTGAAATTACTGAACTTAAATATACAAGTTTGATAAAAATCATCATTAAAGAAGAAAATTTCAAATGGCATTTAGAGGCATCTGAACTCTTCATATGTTCCCATTTGTTAACTAAATGGGAACATTATGAATAAGTTCTTTTAACCTCACATTGTGAGCTGGGGAAGAGGAGAGATTTGCAATTTGCAAAGAGCAGCGTGTATCTGAGAGAGCGCGCACGTGCGATATTCCACGCGTGAGCTGACAGATTCGCACTCGGGCATTATATTAATTTACTTTCGAGCTACAATAGTGTGCTCTCTACATTTAACAGGAAAATAATGCCATAGTTCTGCAACATCCACCTTCCCTGTAACGTAATTTACCCTCGCCTCATGAAGTGGTTTCTGTCTTTTTAAATAACTTCACAGAGATCTCTAATGCCAGAAATATTAGACTTTATTCACAAACAAAGCCGAGCAACTTCTGCAGTTGCTCTAACGCTCTGGCCTGCTGGCCCTGCGGCCCTCCGGCCCTATTGCGCTCTCGAGTCTTTTGTGTTCAGAGTTATATACTGTACATACATCCATAGAAGGTCAGACACCCTATAGATAGTTTTAAAAATACATTGTACCATGTGACATACTGAAATAGTATTCTGGTGTATCAGCATTGGGCTTCTAAAAGTTTCAGGAACTAAATGTGGTTTCTTATATAGCTAAGTTACTTGTTTTCTAAATAATAAAATCTTCTACACTCACTGTCGCTGCTTTGAAGTGCAACATTGTAAAGGGTCCGTCTGACACAGTGTCACGCAGCGTAACGTTCATTCCGAACGTTGTGTAATTAAATACATCGGTATGGCGGTATATTAAAAATGTATATCATGACAAAAATATACACCGGTTTTTGACATGAACCGGTAAACCGCCCAGCACTACTCAAACCCATTTAATGGTAAACATTTGATTGATGTTCAACAAATAAAAACAGATATCATACAGATGAACAAATGATAAAGCTCGGTTTGATGAATATTAAATCCATTTTATATGAAAAATCATTCTTTGTATATGATCTGTTTTTGACAGAAACCTGGCTAAAACCAGACGATTACATTACCTTAAATGAGTCCACCCCCAAAAGATTATGGTTATAAAAACGAGCCTTGTCTGAAAGGAAAAGGGGGTAATATACAGCAAAATCTTCAGAATTACTCAGGGGTCTGCTTGACATTTGTGCTGGCTTCTGTATACAGGCCACCAGAGCATCATACAGACTTTATCAAAGAATTTGCTGATTTTCTATCTGGCTGCTGATAAAGTCCATATTGTTGGCGATTTTAATATCCAAGTAGATTATGAAAAAGACACATTGGGATTGACATTTAGAGACATTCTAAACTCTTTTGGAGTTGGATAACACGTCAGGACCCACTCAATGTCGTATTCATACTTTAGATCTAATATTATCCCATGGAATCAATGTTGATGCCATTAAAATTCTACAGCAAAGCGATGATATCTCAGATCATCATTTTGCAGCCGAACGATGATATCTCAGAGCATTATTTAATCTCATGTATGCTGAATTTAGCCATGGTTGCTAAGTCGACTCTGTGTTACAAATATGCTAGAACTATCAATTCTAACACTAAAGATTGCTTTATAAATAATCTTCCTGATCATCTCCTCAGCATCCCAGTTGGCTTAGAAGAACTCGAACTTGCAACAGAAACTTTTGACTTTCTCTTTTCCAGGCCTTTAAACACAGTTGCTCTTTCGTGCTTTAAGAAGATTAAATAAAATAGTCCAATACCGTGGTACAACGAGGACACTCGGGCCCTTAAGAGAGCAGCCAGAAAAAGGGAGCGCAACTGAAAGAAAACAAAACAAAATAGAGGTTTTTCGCAATTCGTGGAGAGCATTTTGATTCAGTACAGAAATGAATTAAACTGCTTCTACCCTCTTAGAAGAAAACAAACACAACCCTAGGTATTTATTTGAAACAGTGGCTAAATTAACAGGAAATAAAGCTTCAACCCCAGACATTTCCAAACAGCACAGCAGTATTGACTTTATGAACTTCTTTACTTACAAGATTGGTAATATTAGAGCGAAAATTATAACTATGCAACTAAAAAGAATAGTACAATAGAATTGCATCAGACAGTGCATTGTTGTCTCCCTGAGGAAAAATGTGATTTATTCATTGCTTTATTCATTAAACCTCTTGTTAAAAAAACCCAACATGATCCTACATAACTAGTCAATTACAGGCCGATCTCGAGTCTACCTTCTCTGTCAAAGATACTAGAAAAGGCAGTGTCCTCACAACTATGCCTTTTTAGAAAGAAATGGTATTTGCGAGGATTTCCAGTCAGGATTTAGACCATACCATAGTACTGAGACAGCTCTCATTAGAGTCACAAATAATTTTCTTTTATCATCCGATCATGGTTGTATCTCTCTGTTAGTGTTCAACCTTAGTGCTAGATTTGACACTATCGACCACAACATTCTTTTGACTAGACTCGAAAATGATGTTGGCACAAATGATAAATGTCATGTGATGCATGGTTCACATCATTATCTCTTATTTTACTTATCAGTTTGTAGTATTAAATGAAGAGATGTCATATCGATCACAAGTTTAGTATAGAGTACCACAAGGCTGAGGACTGTTGCTGTTCACCCTGTACATGCTACCCTTGGGAGATATTATTAGGAAACGTGCATTAGTTTTCACTGTTATGCTGATGATACTCAGCTGTATATTTTTCCACGCCCTGACACAACTTTCCAATTCACAAAATTATCAGAATGCATATAGCTGATATAAAAAACTTGATGACTCTTTGATACCAATCTTTCATTTGAAAGCAACTTTTCTAACATCTGTAAAACTGCATTCTTCCATCTTAAAAATATATCTAAAGTACACCATTTGCTTTCAATGAAAAATTTGGAACAGTTAATGCATTAATGACCTCAAAGCTAGATTATTGTAATGCTCTAATGGGTGGTTGCCCTGAACGCATGATAAACAAACTACAGCTGGTCCAAAACGCAATAGCACTGTTCGTTTATTGGCCAGAGGAGAACTGAGCCTGGTTTCTCCCAAGTTTTTTTTTCTCCACTCTGGCACCGGTGGAGTTTAGGTTCCTTGCTACTGTCACCATTTTCGCCTTTGGCTTTTGGCTTGCTTAGTTTGGGACATTTAATTTAATATTCAACAATAATATTGATCTGATCAACATTGACACCATTATATGAGAACTGAACTGAGCTGGACAATGATATCACGGTTTTCTCCAGAGTTGCTAACCCTAACCCTAACCCTAACCCTATATAATGAACTAAATTTATAATATTTTTAACAACAAAAATGAACCACCACTGAACTTAACTTAGAGTTTTTCACAATCACGTTACTACTATTTTTAGAACCTTGATGTAATTGTTCACAACTCTAGACACAAAACTCAAAACGCTTATCACTTGTAACACAGGCTGTCTAATGTTCAAAACATTGTATTGTGCATTCACATCTTTAAAGGAATCTTGCACTTGCACAATCATTGGTTCAAAATACAAATTTACTGTGAAATACCATTGAAAAATAACTATAGATTACCCACACACAAGCAACCGATAGTTTCATTGTCATTGTTCGTACAATCATTAAATGTTGTAGAACAAAATAGGTGATACAAGTTTATGCTACTACATGTACAGTAAATATACATCTCTTTAAAAGTACTGCAGTAGTAAAGATAATACAGACGTAGTGGAATCATTTAACAAAGTGTGTGATACAATAATGCAAAACACTACAGTACAATCACAACATGGGTTTTTTGGAATCAAAGCAAAAAATATATTAATATTATGCTACATCCATGGATATTGTAATCAAATTGGTTCATGCTCCATGCTAATTGGTGACAATGAATCTCTTATCTTGAAACTTTCATTTACTGTCAACATGGAAGATTGTGTGTCTGTTTCCATACAACTATGCATTTGTCACACCACGGTCTGTCCAGCAGAGGGAGACTGAGAGCACAAGACCTTCCACATCTTCCTCCTAATCCACTGCTCATTATTGGTTCAATGAAATTACCTGTGCCTACCTAGTTAGTGTGTTAACGTGTTATTTAAAGAGTTAGTTTTTTTAAAACTTTT